CGACAGGTGGTACATTGCCAGGATGAAGACAGGCCATCGGTGTCACCCGGGTGAGTGGCATCTCCTTGGTTAGAATGCAGTGCCCAACCTACAGAACCGTGCACAGGGCTCCCGCCTAATGGCTTCCTGCTAGGGCCAAGGTGGCCCCTTTGAATACATGACCCCTGACCCGAGCTGGGCTCGGCTCCCAGCGCCACCCGCCACTCACTGCAGTTGCGCTCATCCGATTGGTCATCACAGTCGGCGTCGCCGTCACAGCGCCAGCCGGCATTGATACAGAGGCCACTATCGCACATGAATTCCCCCGAGCGGCAGGGCTGGTGGGAGGCTGGGGAGACACAGTGGGCCCCGGTCTCCAGCCAGTCTGTGCCCATGGAGCGCCCCCCACCCCGGCGTCCGGGCTCCCTCATCTCTGCCCAGCGGGGACCGGTCGCTGGGAGTCCAGGAACGCCTCTTCACTGCGCTCCTGCCCCACTTGGCACCTGTGCCTTCCCACCGGAGCAGTTCCTCCCAGCCCGGCCTCCTGCTGGCTGCTGGCCAGTCCACTCACAGCAGTCAGACTCGTCCGACCAGTCCCCACAGTCATCGTCGCCGTCACAGTGGTAGATGTCCAGGATGCAGCGGCCGTATGCACACTGGAACTCCTCCAGGCTGCAGGGGGGTGCCGGCACTGCCGAGGCTGCAGGGTGGAGGCAAGGGTGGAGGAAGGGGCTCTGACTCCTCAAAGGGAAGAGGTGCTGTGCTGGGGGTGGGGGGCACCTTCCTTACGGGAACAGTGACCGGCTCTCCTTTCAGATGGTTCTTGTGGACTCCCACGTTCAGGGTACCGCTAGGGCACCCGGCCCGGCCCCAGCCCAACCTTGGGGGAGTGGCTTCTCAGGAACCAGCTGGACAAGCAGACCTGCCCTGGGCCCTTGAGCCCTCTGCCCTCTCCCAGCCCAGCAGCCTGAGGTCACTCACGACAGCTCTCCTCGTCAGAGCCATCTTTGCAGTCAGCGTCTCCGTCACAGTACCAGTGCTCGGCGATGCAGCTTCCGTCGCTGCAGCGGAACTCCTTGTCAGAGCACTTGCGCATGTCTGGGGGAGGCACGTCGGAGGGGTGGGGAGAGAGACACCAGGAAAACCCTGTGACCATCCGCTGCGGTCGGTCCCCGGGGCTCTGACCCAGCCCTCTTCCGTTCAGTCTGCACAGACTGGTGACGACTGGGGGTGAGGGGGGAGCTAAAGCTCAGCAGGTGACCCGATTGTGCCTTCTTCTCCTTCCTTGTCCCCTCTGACTTTGGGCTCACAGATGGCCCGGATGCCCCCTCCTGAGTGACGGAGCTTTTCTGCGCAGAGAAGGATCAGGCCACCAGGAGGGCTGGTGCTCCCCGGGAAAGGGGAGCAGGGGACTGACGGGGTGACATAGGGAGGTCTTCATTTCCTTCCCCCAACATTTGAACGAAAATATGGATGGTCTTCAGACCTGTAGGGCACAGGCCTTGGATACGGGCCCCACGGTTCCTGGATCCTGGGGGCAGGGGTGGGGTAGACCACTCTACGTACCTCCCTCCCTCCAGCTACTTGGGGCAGAGGTTGGTTCGAGGTCGGCCAGTGCTGGGGCCATTGCTGCAATCTCCCGCCTGGCCAGCCCGTCCACTGGCCATCCCTGGAGCACCACTCACCACACTGCTCGTCACTGTTGTCGCCACAGTCGTTGTCCCCATCGCAGTGCCACAGGCTCCGGATGCAGTAGCCGTTCTGGCAGGGAAATTCGTCCTCCTCACACTCCCGCGGGGCTGGGAGGGGGCGAGCACAGAGCGGTCAGGCGGCTGCAGGCAGCAGACCCCAGTGCCCCCAAGTTCGACATCACAGCTGCCTTCTGGAGCAGCCAGGACACGCCACTGCTGCCCCAGGGGCTTGAGAGGGGGACACGGGCCTCCGGGGACGCCCCAAGGGCTAACATGAACCTGGATCGTGCTCGGTTTCTTCTACCTGCGGGATTCCCTAGGCCCACACTCACGGCAGTCCTGCTCGTCCGAGTCGTCCTCACAGTCGTTGTCCCCGTCACACACCCAGGAGCGGCGGATACACTTGCCATTGTCACAGTGGAAGTCGAGAGGGGAGCAGGTGGGCAGCACTGGGCGCCGGGAAAAGAAGGCAGTGAGTCAACGTGGTACCTGTCCTCGGCCAGGCTCCTTGACAAACCTCTCTAGTTCCCAGGTCTTCCTTTCCCCTTCCAAGCTCTTCCTCAGACCTTCCCCCGGCCCTTGCCAATCTCAGCACGTGGAGCAGGCTCAGCAGACCCCACAGCTGCAGAGGGAATAGGGAATGGGGAGGGAGGCTGGCCCAGGGCAGGGGAGGACGAAGAAGAATCCAAGGAAGACGAAACCTGCCAGGAAGCGGAAAGAACACCACGGGCGAGGAAGAGGATGGGGTTGTGCCTGCTTCTCCTCCTGCTAAACCAGGGGCTCCTCAAATTACAGCCCGTCGAGGACATTTATGCGGCCCGCTGGGTGTTTTCGCCCCGTTTGTTTTTTTACTTCAAAATAAGATATGTGCAGTGTGCATAGGAATTTGTTCATAGTTTGTTTGTTTTTTTTAAACTATAGTCTGGTCCTCCAACGGGTCTGAGGGACAGTAAACTGGCCCCCTGTTTAAAACGTTTGAGGACCCCTGTGCTAAACGATGACCAGGGCCCCCGGCAGTGTCACTGGTTGTGTGTTGAGAAAGACAAGCTTCTCTACTGCTGTAATGAGGGACCGTCTGGGAAACCCACAGAGGAATTTCTGCCCTATCCTACGGGGTCGCTGCAGGTCAGCATCGCCTGGAAGGCAGTGTGGGATGATGACAGATGCACCTGGGTGCCAGTCCCAGTCCTAGAACCCATCCCTTACCCCACCAGGCCAATCCCTTACCCTATCTCCGCTGCAGCTTCTTCAGCTGCACCATGGGGAGGGATTATGATGCTGGGCTGACCGAGGCCCTCTGAGATCAAGCATAGGAAAGTGTTACACCAAACGGAGGTGCTCATCACCCCATCACCGCTAGCTTGGGTTCAGGAGGCTCAGGTGGTCGCTTTCTTCTCAAGGAGCCTAATAAGCCACCCTCAGATGGAGATGCGGCCGATCATAGACTGCACTCCTAAACCCAGACAACTGGCTCAGTGGTGCTCTATCTTTAGCTCCGAGATGGGGCGCTCAGGTATACTGTGCTCTGTTACTACATGGTCTGAACACAGGGGAGAATGGGCAACGCCGAGGCTGGCAAACAAAGGTCTGACACATTCTACTGCGGCAGAATTCCACGACCGGGAAGAATCTGCATCCTGTCTCCAAGCCCGACCCAACTCACTGCCAAGGAGAGTGATCCTACACGGCAGAGATAACTCCCTTGGGGCTCTCTGAGGCGATGGCACTTCACAGGGGCGCACAGCCTCAGCTCTCCTGCAGAGGGGCTGGTGGTACTGACCTTGTGGTGAGCGGCCCCATTTGTGGCCCCACACCTCCATCAGGGCCCCTGCACCCATGTACAGCACAGACGTTTCACACACACACAAGCACACACACACCTCCATCAGGGCTCCTGCACCCAC